GGATCGACCTCGTTTGAATCCGGGCACGTTTGGAGCAAGAAAACAAGAAAACGGAGCGAAAAAATCAGACGCACGGTCGTGCGTCTGGGACGCACGATCGTGCGTCCATTACGAAAACACGGAGTTGCTACTGCCTGCTACGCACGATCGTAGCCCCGTGACACGCATGGAAAAATCCCACTTCGGCCATAATTCGTTTTTTCCCCTCTTTTTCTATAAATAAGGCCTCCCTAACCCTTTTTGAGGGTTACGAACATTACGGAGAGGCCTAGGGACGAATTTAACACCGTTTTTACGCTATTTTCTTCCAAGACCCTGGGATTATTTGTAAGTTCATCTTTTTAATTAATGACAATTAATTCTATTCATCTCAATTCTGTTGATTCTTCAATTATGAATTGTGAGTAGTTTAATTAGGGATTTGGGATTGATGAAGGGGTTAATCATGATGTATGGCTAGATTCTTGATGGTTTAATTGCATGAATGCCGTTTAATTTGTGTTTGAATAATTTAACTGATATCTTTTGTAACCTGGAACCGCGGCTAGAATTACAATTGCATGTAGAATAAATTAAGAGAGATCTAATTTGTTCTAGGACACCTTCACACACACTTAATCGTTCGCTAAGAGATTAGTAGCGATTAAGGGGCCGTAAGCTCGCTCGTCTTGGCAATAATTTAGGATCTTGTCGCATGAGAGATCAGCCTGGTACCCTAAATTATTGTACTCTACGCCGCGAGAGCGGTAAGAACTTAGTAATGATTAGCTAGGCTCAATTAAATTAAATTCATGTAATTAGGCCTGATCTGCCAGAAATCTGGTTACCCCGGAATCAATCCCTATTCCCTTCGTCATTAATTAGAGAGAAACCAATCTTTTTATTTTATTGCTCATTAGCATTAGTTTAATTTTCCACCCAATCAAATCTCGCACGACGCATTTATTTTATTTCTTTTTAATCGCTGAATTTAATTAATTCTTGATTCCCTTTTGTCCGTCCCTGTGGAGACGATACTCGTACTTACACCACTATATTACAATCTTTTTAAGTGCGAGAAAACTGACATCATACGTCCAGTTAGAACACAAGGTTAGCCCGCAGGCCCATGTTCCTTGGGGAGGGACGAACGTCTTGTGTTGAGGGTTTTAGGCCAAACGGCCCATCGCGACGAACGTCTATGCAGGGACAAGGAGCAGGACCACGGGCCATCAGGGATGACGACGAACGTCTCCAGAGCAAGCCTATAGTCATCGGAGGAAATCCAGTCCACATGGTGAGAATCCATTAAGGCCAGGAGACGAACAACCAAAACCTCTTGAGGGTCACTTGTAGGGGTGTGCACGGGTCGGGTTCGGGCGGGTCGGGTTTGCGAACCCTAAACCCGTTCGGGTTTTTTAATTTAAATACTAGGCCCGACCCTTTGATATTTCAAATCGGATATTTCGGATATTTTTAAGTCGGATATTATCGGATATCGGGTCGGGTTTCGGATATTTCAGTTATATTTAAAAAAATTATAGGTGGATAATTAAAGTGTTTAAATGCCACTTTGACAAAAATTGTACACACTAGTGCACTAAACTTTCAAATTACACAAATAATTTAACACAAATTGCACAAATACTTACACAAATAATTGAACACAGGTATTAATTTAACATATTCAAAGTACACACTACATAATTTATTATATTTCGGATATTTTGGTTACATCAAAACACATTATAATTGGATAGTTAAAGTGTTGGAATGCCACTTTAACAAAAGTTGTTACACACTAGTTCACTACACATTCAATTTACACAAATAATTTAATACAAATTTCATAAATAATTACACAAATAATTGAACACAAGTATTAATTTAAATATTCAAAGTACACACTAACATATATTTCGGATATTCGGGCGGGTCGGGTTGGGATTTCACAAACCCTACCCGCCACCCGGTCTAGGCCCAATTCTAATCGGATTTTCGGTTTCGGATTTTTCGGGTCGGATATCCATTTCGGTTCGGATAATATCCGAAAAAAATATCGGGTTTTTCGGGTCAGATCGGGTTTTGCTCAGCCCTAGTCACTTGGAGCGATCCAGCTCGCTTCCCGGGCGGACGAACGTCCCCACTATTTAGGCGGGAAACCTAGATTCTGGCGGGAAGTGCATTTAATGCTGGAGATTTGGTGGTTGGGACACCAGCGGTCCACAGGCCTCCACGTCAGCATAGCCACCTGCCCATTGGTGGGTATAAATAGAAACATTTATTTCATTGTAAAGGGTTGGCAACTTTCTATTCTTAAGCACTCTAGCTATAGCATTCTTACCCGCAGCACTTCTACTGCCTTGTAAGACGAACGGCCGGCGGAGCCTTAGCGAAAAGTATTGTATTAGGGAGTTATTAAGAGATAATAATACCTAATCACTTACTTGCTACTTCTTGTTCTCTATAATCCATATCATCTGCTTGTTGGGCTAGTTTACTCACACACACTCCACTCGAGATCCTTGGTCTTACGTGTTGGACCCGAGGGTTGAAGGAATTAACCTCAACACTATTACTATTACTATTATTATTATTATTATTATTATTATTATTATTATTATTATTATTATTATTATTATTATTATTATTATTATTATTATTATTATTATTATTATTATTATTATTATTATTATTATTATTATTATTATTATTATTATTATTATTATTATTATTATTATTATTATTATTATTATTATTATTATTATTATTATTATTATTATTATTATTATTATTATTATTATTATTATTATTATTATTATTATTATTATTATTATTATTATTATTATTATTATTATTATTATTATTATTATTATTATTATTATTATTATTATTATTATTATTATTATTATTATTATTATTATTATTATTATTATTATTATTATTATTATTATTATTATTATTATTATTATTATTATTATTATTATTATTATTATTATTATTATTATTATTATTATTATTATTATTATTATTATTATTATTATTATTATTATTATTATTATTATTATTATTATTATTATTATTATTATTATTATTATTATTATTATTATTATTATTATTATTATTATTATTATTATTATTATTATTATTATTATTATTATTATTATTATTATTATTATTATTATTATTATTATTATTATTATTATTATTATTATTATTATTATTATTATTATTATTATTATTATTATTATTATTATTATTATTATTATTATTATTATTATTATTATTATTATTATTATTATTATTATTATTATTATTATTATTATTATTATTATTATTATTATTATTATTATTATTATTATTATTATTATTATTATTATTATTATTATTATTATTATTATTATTATTATTATTATTATTATTATTATTATTATTATTATTATTATTATTATTATTATTATTATTATTATTATTATTATTATTATTATTATTATTATTATTATTATTATTATTATTATTATTATTATTATTATTATTATTATTATTATTATTATTATTATTATTATTATTATTATTATTATTATTATTATTATTATTATTATTATTATTATTATTATTATTATTATTATTATTATTATTATTATTATTATTATTATTATTATTATTATTATTATTATTATTATGATTATTATTATGATTATTATTATTATTATTATTATTATTATTATTATTATTATTATTATTATTTTTATGATTATTATTATTATGATTATGATTATTATTATTATTATTATTATTATTATTATTATTATTATTATTATTATTATTATTATTATTATTATTATTATGATTATTATTATTATTATTATGATTATTATGATTATTATTATGATTATTATTATTATTATTATTATTATTATTATTATTATTATTCTTATTCTTATTATTATTATTATTATTATGTAGTAAAGAGTAAAAAAATATTTATGATGTAATATTCCGATATTCGCTAATTACATGATTTCGTATTATGTGAATTATGCTACTATTTTATTTTATATGATATGTTCTTGTTTAATTTGATTACTTGCTATATGATTAAACCGAAATCAGAGCAATTACAAACATCTTTAGAGTGTGGTATTTCTCCCGTCGGTTCATCAACTTTACTTTAATTAATTGCCTCAAAAAAGTTTTTTTTTTGCATTTTTTAAAGTAGCAAATTTGTAGTTCACACCATCTTTCTCTTTTTTACATAAAAACTACTACAATTTGTCTCGCTCTTAAACAAATTTCAAGTATACAATTTTATTTTATTATTTTATTATTTTATAGAATTATACTCAAAAGAGTATAATTCTACGTATACTTCTATCCTGGACAATAATTTTTTCAAACTTTAAAAGTCCATTTGTTGACTCCCATTTTAACTTATTAGGTTTATGAGTCCATCTTTTTACCAAACGTGTTTCTGACCGCGTTGATTTATGTGTTTCTAGTCCATTTGTTTATTTTATTACTAAATTGTACTCCTGTATTTCAAATGAATTTTTTTCACAAATTCAACCACTTCAACTTTTACACATAATTTTATCAATTTAAGTTAATTTAGCCGATTGAGTCAGTTTGAGTCTCACCCAGCAAACTCAAAGTCAATTTGTGTACTTCGAGTAATGCAAAATTGAGGGGCATGTTTTTGCTATATATTCAATTCCTCAAACACTGCGGAGCAGGTAGTACGTAGTACGATATCATCTAGGATATTTACTTTATTGGAACCGAATTAAATATCCAGGAAACATGGCTATCTTCAAACCGAAAGCATCAAAATGGGAGTGAGATCATTCATAAGTCGTAACAAGTAATAAAAAATTGAGATATGATATCGTTTCCTGGAACTTATTATTGTATATTTGTAGGCATATGGTTTCCTGGCTATACACCAATTTAACGGATTGACTGACGGGATCTGAATTGATCGGTGGTTTTGTGACACTTAAACAAGGCACTTTTAGGTCCGGTTTATGATAGAAACGACAATAATAATGAATAAACGTTTGGTGTTTAGGATACAATGTAGACTTTTAAAGGCGACCCGAGTGAAATTCTTCAAAATAATGACACTAAATACAATCAACACCATACTCTATCTTAGAACAATTTTTGTTGTACATACCCTTCCAGACACATTTCCTACACGTTCTCTATATTTCGTTCGTGTAACAGATAATTTTCAGCATTCGACTAAAATGAATTGTCTGTGATACAGATAAAAGTAAGATCGTTTGCAAAACGTGTAGAAGGAAATGAAATTTTTACTCTATTATTCTGTGCTTCTAAAACATAGGCGAATCCGACGGCGAAGAATTAACCAAATTTAGTATGCTGTCCCAGTAAATCTTGTTATCTTCATAACAATGATCCCCGGTGCCGTCGCCGGCGTTCACGGACTCGGTGCTACCGGCCTCCGACAAGCACCGTTCCTCCGTCGAATTCGCACTCAGCAAGAGATCCGTGAACCTCTCCACGAAATTCCCACTGGGGATCTGGTCGTGCGTCCACGCGCTCTCCATCATCTCCGGCGGGAACTCGGCGACGTGTTTGAACTCCGGCTGTAAATGCTCCGGCGCCGGCATTCCAGACATGGGCGGCGGCTTGATGTCGGAATAGCTCAGAGTCGACGTGGGAGACTCGATCGGATCCTCGAGTCCGGCGAGAGAGAAGGGCCCACTGTCGAGGCCACCCCAGGCCTTTAGAATTTCAAGGCACGCCGGAGATGCGGCGGCCGGGGCGAGAGCGGCGGTGGAAGGTGACCGGAGTTTGGATTGCCGGGCGAGGCGGGCTTCGGCTTCGAGGCGGGCGCTTTCCCACTGGGCCATGTGGCTGAGATGGGCGGCGCTCTTGGAGTTGCCGTCGTGGGAGGATGTCAGGAGGGCGTCGCTCTTGGGCTTGTGTGTCACCGGATCGATCCCCATCTTCGCCAGCCGCTTTTTCAGATGGGTATTCCAGTAATTCTTTATCTCGTTATCTGTCCGCTTCGGCAAGTGCGTGGCTATGGCGGACCACCTGACACCAACACAATTAATAAAAGCAACGATATTCCATATTAGAATTTGAAATTCCCAAAAATCAAATACATTGTCTTGCCTAACATGTGTAAAAGTTCATCTGCAATTCTTATGAACATGGTGATTGAGCTTATTGATCCCGATTGTTTGGATCTATTTTTGAAAACTGTTTAACCACTTTAAAGAAGAACAAGATATTGAATTGTTCAGGTGAAGATGCAGGAGTAGTTCGGATACTTCAAATTGACCCTAAAAGCATTTTTTTAGGAATTTGGAAAGACCAGATTCTAATAAAGTGATTCTGATTATTCTAAAAACAGCAGATTCTATTTCACCTAGTCAATCCCAAACACCCCTGAATCAGAATTGAGATATGTCTATGTTAAAGTTGTCTTTGTTTCACTCGTGTTTGGATCTATTTCATAAAATTGTTTTTACTTGTTCAGAATGTAAAAATAGATATTGTAATGTTTGGGTAAAAGTGCTTCCACTCAATTGCATATAGAAGCAGTTTTTGAGGTGGAGGCGTGACCGGCTTCTGAAATGCTAATTCTATGTATTCCACTTATGTTATGATGAAATTGCTTGTTTGAACTTAATTGACACTTATAATACACCAGAAGTAGAGTAATAACCTGTTTCCCAGAAGAGCATGGAGTTGGATAATGGTTTGTTCTTCTTGTACATTGAATTTGCCTCTCTTAATATCAGGTCTTAGATAGTTTGTCCATCTCAGACGACAACTCTTTCCACATCTTTGCAGACCTGAAATAATCGTCCAAACCAATAATTGAAGAGCTCTCTTCATTCATTCATATGACACAAACTGAAACTAGACCTTGCAATTACATACCAGCTTTGGAAGGCAGAGCACGCCAGCTGCCATGGCCGTGCTGCTCAATATAGGCCAAAAGCTTCTGGTCCTCTTCCGGCGTCCACGGCCCTTTCTTCAGCCCGACTTTGTCGCAGCACGGCGATCGCCCCATATTCGGCCAATCAAAGTTAAACCCAAAGTATGCTAATGAACTAATATGTGTATATAAGGTAAGGGAGTTTTGATCTGCAGTGTATTAGCTATGTTTAGTTAATTTGGGGCAAAAGATGTAACGTGATGGGGGTTGATTCTAGAGGAGGAATTTGTGGGCAAATAGGTTATATATATATATGAGGATGATGAGGATGAGGGAGTGGGAAGCTAAGAGTGATGAGTGGTGTGGAAGGGAGCTTGAGAATATAAAAGTGTAGGACGTAGAAGAGATGGGCAGCTAGTTGATAGCTAAGGATGAAAGGTCAGCGACATGTATAAATGAAGGCATGTGACACTACTACCCCTTCTATTCTCCTTTCCTCTTCTCCCATTTTATATGCACTTCAATTCCTTCCTCTCTTGCCAGCCCATGCATCCCCAAACAAGTACGCATTTCTTTTCTTTTTCTACTATAACTTTATTATAGAGTCGTTTTGGTAAAGTTGGAACATGTTGGAAATTGGATGAATGTATTGAATTATGAAAAATTAGATCAAAACCGGTGGAAATCTAGACGAACGAGCAATGATCAAAAGTCGTAGCAATTTTATAGAGGTTACAACTCCTCTGTGTTGGGATGGACATACGAAGCACACAAATATAAGGTGCATTATCTATAGGATTGACGAGTCACCGATATTTACAACCTCCCATATGTTTTATCAAATCCAAGCTTGAAGGCCCTTCGAATTGGGATTCCACCTTTTAGAGAAACAAAAATATTTTTAGAGTACTAAGACTACTAACGTACTAAGTTTCGGGCGGTAACTCATTAGATGGAAGTGATGGAACTTTTTTTTTGAAGTTCTTAACTTTATACATTAACGAAGATTCCTTAAAAAAGGGTAAACATAGATATGACCTATTCAATTCTATTGAAGGAAGTTTTATACTTTTAATAGGATCAAATAAGTTCTATTTTGAGAAAATATAAGTAGTCTTATTTGTAAATTTTGTGCAGGTTTTAGTTTTAGTTAGAGCAATTTCTATTTAATTTAAATAACATCTTTTCGATTGTAGTAAGAAGATACAAAATTGCACTAAGTAGGAGTAGAAACGTTTCTCAACTCCATATTACGACTATTATGTTTTGTTATACTCCGTATTTCTTAAATAAGAGCAATTCCTTTCCTCTTTGGCATTACAAGACTTTAGTACGAGAGTATTTTTCAAGTGACAATAATTAATCCTATTCATGAAATAAAAACATAGTTTTCATTTTAGAATTTCAAAGTGTTCTTATTCGTATTTTGAAAATTTTCAATTCAAACAATGGACGGGAGCTTTTGTTCATGGAGCTATTTTTTGAATCTGTAATTTTAGTCATCCTAACATTAATCTTTTGGGCATTTTAAAATGAATTTACTAAGTAATAAAATTTGGAGTATACTATATTCGGAGCCCATTTGGTAACACTGTTATTCGACTTGTCAGAATTATCAGTTAACTTTTGATTTTGCGCGCTGAAATGTGTAATAATAAGAAAAAGTAAGGTTGGAGTTTTTTCCGTGGCTGTTTCGGCTGAAGTTACTGTACAGGACCATTTTAGCTATTTTTACATATAATTTTTTTCTTTATTCTATTAATAAATTATATTTTAAATTTAATTTTTGATAAATCAGCGGAATCGGCCAATACAGCCACTTAAGCCAGAACTTCATAAATTTCAGTAGAATAGCCGATTCAGCCGATTTTAGTTTTGCTAGGCTCTCGATTCTTAGAAATATATTGATATTTATTTACAAATGAGTCTCCATCCTACCCCAACAATCTTGTAAAGTACTCCCCATCCTAATGGTCATCTAGTCATTGGTGCTGCGAGCCCCTCTTATCTCTCTATGTAGCCTGTTAGCAAAATAATGAAAAATATGTGTAAGGAATCAGAACGATGGTCCAGTATCAATATTGAAGAATGACACCTCACCCATACTACATTTTGACGCGATCGAACTTGGTCATGTAAAGACCTGCCGATTCTAGAAAGGGGTTTGAGTGCTTTGAGTCCATTTTCTTTATGTAATGAGTTGAGAAAATGTACCTTTAAACAGGTTCATATATAATGCAATACAGGTTTTATAAGTAACTACTTATCTACTACCCCCGTCCCGTTGGAATGTTCCCACTTTCCTTTTTTGGATGTCCCAATATATTACGAGATATTAGTTGATATAATTAAGGATAGAATTCTATTTTAGGTAGAAGATTATTTTCATTATGATTGTATCTTGCATATCTTTTGGCCGATCCTATTTTTTTGGCTCTTGGAACATGTATTTATACTGGCCGATTGGCCTTAGCAATGATATGGAAAATTTCCTCTTCATTATTCTTCTCCTTCCCAGTATATCATACGAATTTCATTATGGTATCAGAGCATATACACGTTAGACTGTTGCGCATACTCCAATAGCAGAGATGACAACGGAAGACGGAGCTACGTCGGCGGCAAGAACTGATTATACTTCGCCGTTTTTCTTGGGACCCCAAGACAGACCAGGTGATTATATCACTTCGGTTCGTCTAACAAATAACAATTACGAAGAGTGGTTTAACGCAGTAAGATTGGCACTCCGGGCAAGACGAAAATATGTGTTGGTTGATGGAACTGTCACAAAACCAACACCTCCTTGGACCGAGGAGGACTGGGTTACAAACCATTCCATGATAATCTCTTGGCTTCTCAATGTCATATCGCCGGAAGTCAAGGCGACTCTGTCACATTACGAAGATGCCCGAAAGCTGTGGAACGACTTGAAGGAGAGGTTCGCGTCAGTCGACGGTCCGAAGATCCACCAGGTTAAAACGGACCTGGCTAGATGCGTTCAAACAAAAGGGATGACCATCGGAACGTATTATGCTAAATTGCAAAATTTATGGGATGAATTGAACAACTATGAACCATTAATTGCGTGTAAATGTAACAAGTGCACCTGTGATGTGCTCAAACAACACGAACAGAGAAGGGAATCTGAACGACTACATCAATTTTTGATGGGTCTTTACACTGAATTTTTTGGAGGTGTTCGGTCACAATTGTTGACCCAAACTGAACTTCCGACTTTGAATCGGGCGTATCAACAAACTGCTCAGGAAGAACGTGTTCGGGGCATCGTGCAAGCACAAGAAGAAAGGCCAGAGGTTTTGGGTTTTGCCCTCAAGACAGAAGGAAAAAGTGCAGGACGCGGGGTCAAGCCGGACAAGTCGGGACTAGTATGCACTTATTGCAAATTTACGGGACATGAAGTGGCCAGTTGCTTCGAACTTCATGGATATCCCGATTGGTGGGGGGATAGACCTCGACCTGGAATTAAAGGAGGAGGGAGAGGACGTTCAAGCAGCACCGGAGCTCCAGGGAATTCGGGTGCACACCGCGGAAAGCAGATGAATAAAGCTCACGCCACAGTGGCAGCTGAAGCCGTGGCTAAGCCAGGGCAGAATACTGGGGAGAGCAGGAGTGGGCAGACAACTCCATTACCGGGCTTTACACCCGAACAGTGGACTTCATTACTCTCTATGCTTGGTAACACTCAATCTACAAATGACCGCATGACTGGTAAGTTCAATCATAATGCATGGATTATTGACACTGGAGCTACAAACCATGTATGTGGAAATCAATCTTTGTTGACTGAATTAAAGAAGATTGATCCGTGCACAGTTGGACTTCCTGATGGACAAACAGTTCAAGCAACTCTAGAAGGGAGTGTGCGATTTGGACACAATCTATATTTAAATAATGTTCTTTTTGTTCCAAGATTGGAGTGTAATCTTATTTCTGTGTCCCAATTAAATGATGCACTTGACTGTTTTGTTCAGTTTGCTTGTAATGTGTGTGTTATACAGGACCGTGTCTCGAAGAGGCTGATTGGAACGGGTGAACGGAGGAATGGACTGTACTACTTGCGGGAGGAACCAATGGAACATGCTTTGACAATTCGAGAATCCGGGAAGAAGGAGGCAGAACTCTGGCATCAAAGATTGGGTCATCCGGCCTATCAAGTTGTTGAAAATTTAGTTCCCGTAAGTGGTTTGAAGGACCTTGGAAATTTCCCGTGTGATATATGTTTTAGAGCTAAACAAACTAGGGAATCTTTTCCTACTAGTTTGAATAAAACTCGTGATGTTTTTGAGATGATACACTGTGATTTGTGGGGTCCATATAAAACCCCGTCTTCATGTGGTGCTAGACAATTTTTGACAATTGTTGATGATTATTCTCGTGCTGTTTGGACTTATCTCCTGATTGATAAAAAGGAAGTTTTCAAAATGTTTCTTTCTTTTGTCGCTATGGTAGAGCGCCAATTTTCCAAGAAAATCCGATGTGTAAGAAGTGATAATGGAACGGAGTTTAACTGTTTGAAAGATTTCTTCAGAACTAGTGGCATTATTTTCCAGACGTCATGTGTGGCTACACCCCAACAAAATGGGCGTGTAGAACGCAAACATAGACACATTTTAAATGTAGCACGTGCGTTGAGATTCCAAGGGAATTTACCTATTTCGTTCTGGGGTGAGTGTGTATTAACTGCTGCTTATCTGATTAATCGCACACCTTCTGCAGTACATGCTTATAAAACTCCGTACGAAATTTTATTCGGGGTCTCACCGTGCTATAAGTCCCTTCGTATTTTTGGTTGTTTATGTTATGCCTACAATCTGAGGTCAAAGGGTGACAAATTCCTCAGTAGAAGCAGAAAATGTGTATTTGTGGGATATGTTTTCGGGAAGAAAGGGTGGAATGTCTTTGACTTGGAAACTCGGGAATATTTTGTGTCTCGAGATGTCAAATTTTTTGAGCATATATTTCCTTTTGCATCCACCTCTTTACTTGCTGATACTCATCATACACCGGAGATCACACCGGTTTCTTTGCCTATTGAATATACGGACCCTTCATTTTTTGGATATTCTGGTCAAACCGATGAAGAGAGTTCTACACGTGAGGAGGATGCTTCACAGGGAGCTAGCATGGCTA